CTTCGTTTAGCAGCATCTGATCGTCTTTCCTTAAACTATGGGACCAAAATGTACAACACAGCAATAAAGAAATATAGTACAATGAAAATTTCGGTTCCTTGCGAAACTTCGTCGTTCTTTTCCAGCCGTCCTGAAAAAGAGGAAAAATAAAACGTGTGAGTGCATATCGTAAATACACTCGTACTTGCGTAGGGACACAAGATGAGCGGAAAAAGAAATAAACTAATACACTTACCAATAGCGTAAAAGCGATCAGGAAAATAGTGTTTTTTTTTGTTTTTTTTATGTATAAAATATATATATATACGCTCAAAAAAAGATGAAAATGTTTTGTTTGTTTGGTTTTTTTATATAAATAAAAAATTATTATATTAAAAATTTTTTTATAATGAACTATGGAAGGGTAATTCAAGATAATGCTTATGTCCTATGTGCAATATTCGTTTAGATGTTCTGGAAATCTTACTCGTCTTCCAGAACGCGTTGTTTTAGGTTTTTCTATCGACGTTGACGAAGTATCAAGTTGTGTGTCGGTTGTCGTGTAGGGTACTACGAGTGTAGTAGCTGTGTCGTTTGCTTGTACCGAAGGAAAATCGACGTAGCTAGGGTTTCCTTCTAAGTACGCAGCTTTGAGTCGATCGATACTGATGCTATCTTTCGTACCGTTCTTACCTACTACATAGTACTTAGGTTCGCGTTGAAGAACTTTGAAGGGTCCTTCGTATGCTGATTCGAGGGGTCGTCGATGTGAGTCTGGACGAACGAAGACGTGTGTAATATGTCGTAATTCGGGTTGAACGAAAACATCAGTTGATTGAGGTCGAGTGTGAGCAGGTTTAACTGAACGCATAGCGTTTGTAAGCCTACTCGTGTAAGAGTTTAGATCCATGTTCAATGAAGAAGCTGAAGGATCCACGAATACTCCTGGGAGTCGGAGTGTCGTTCCGTAAACGAGTTGAGATGCCGTGTATCCAATGTCAGCTTTCACTGCATTGCGGATACCTAGCAAGACGAGTGGAAGAGCGTCTGTCCACTGTGAAACGTTTGAAGCTGATAATGAAGCTTTTAATTGTCGATGAAAACGTTCTACCAACCCGTTTGCTTGTGGGTGGTAGGCGGTCGTTCGGAAGTGAGTGATTCCTAAAAGTGAGGTCAGACAACGGAAAAGTCCAGATTCGAATTGGCGTCCGCGGTCTGTAGTGATTGTGGAAGGGCAGCCGAAATTTGCTACCCATCGTTCGACGAAAGCTCGGTTCACGGTTTCAGCAGTCGTGTCCTTAATCGGTACTGCTTCTGGCCATCGAGTGAAACGGTCTACGCATGTTAAGAGATATGAGTATCCGTTCGAGTCGGGTAAGGGTCCTACTAAATTTAGATGGACATGGTCGAAACGAGCGTCAGGGGTTTTGAAAGAACCTAAGGGACATTTGTTGTGTCTTATGACCTTAGATTTCTGACAGCTTACACAGGAGCGTGCCCACTCCCTCACGTCTTTATTCATGCCAGGCCAACAAAAGCGTTCGGCTATAAGTTCGATTGTTGCACGAGCACCTGGATGAGAAAGATTGTGCAACGTATTGAGGACGTTGCGTCGATAATGTTTTGGTACAATTGGACGATCCCTACCTGTAGATGTGTCACAGAGTAAGGTTTCCTTATCTGTTCCCATCTGTCTAATACTTAGTTTAAGAGTTGTCGAGGATAACTCATGCTGAAGATCAATATCTTCTTTTTGAAGCTGAGCGAGTTTAAGAAGGTCGATTCCTTGGAAACTGTTCAAGGAATTTATTAGAGACAAGGCGTCTGCGACTACATTGTTTGCTTCAGAAATATGTTGTATGTCTGAAGTAAACTGCGAAATGTAGTCGAGTTGTCGAGACTCTCGCGGTGAGTACTTGTCTGAAGATGAAGTTAAAGAGAAGGTAAGAGGTTTGTGATCGATAAAAAGCGTGAATTCTCTTCCTTCGATGGAATGTTGGAAATGCCGTGCAGCACAATACATAGCTAGGAGTTCCCTACCGAACGTGCTGCACCTAGATTCAGCGTCTAGCAACCGTCTCGAGAAAAATCCTAAAGGTTGCCACGAGTTGTTAACCCATTGTTGTAAGACTGCTCCGATTGCTGAGTCGGATGCGTCTACGGCGATACTAATGGGCGCTTGAGTGTCCTGATGAGCAAGCAAGGTTGCTTTAGCGATGTGTTCCTTAACTGTGGAAAATGCTTTACGGGCTATGTCGTCTAAAGTAATTGATTTCGCATTTCTACGAAGCTGATCGGTTAACGGTTTCATTAGGGATGCGCATTTAGGTATGAACCGTCTATAGAAACTTACGAGTCCGTTAAAAGTTCGTAACTGCTTGATCGTGGTCGGTTCTGGGTAATCCAGAATGGTCGCCACTTTGCTCCTAAGGGGTCGGATGCCTTGGGCATCAATGGTCTGCCCTAGGAAGTCTAAGGAGTTTGTTCCGATTTGGCATTTCTGAATGTTGACGGTAATGCCATGCCTTTGGAGTCGATCGCAAACAATGTCCAGATGCTTGAGATGCGATTCTCTGTCCGGACTTGCTATTAGACAGTAATCAACATACGCATGTACGAAGTTGAGACCTCGGAAGACGTCGTCTATAAACCTTTGGAAGGTTTGAGCAGCGTTTCTTAAACCAAAAGGCATTCATAGAAATTCGTAAAGACCGAAGGGAGTGATGATGGCGGTTTTAGGAATGTCGTCAGGTGCCATCGGGATTTGGTTATAAGCTTTAACCAAGTCGATTTTCGAAAAGACAGTTGTACCTTTCAAGGTAGCTGTCAAATCGTGAATATGAGGCAGTGGGTAACGATCGGGAATGGTTTTAGCATTCAGACGCCGATAATCACCAGTTGGCCGCCAATCATTGCTGTCCTTTTTAGGGACCATGTGCAATGGGGATGCCCATGGACTATTCGATGGTCGAATTATCGCTAGGTCCATCATGTGGTCGAATTCGTTTTTAGCTAACCTAAGCTTCGCGGGAGCGAGTCTTCGAGCTTTCGAAAATACAGGTGGTCCTGTAGTCGAGATGTGATGTGTAACATTGCTGGTTACACAAGGTAATTTCGATTGCGATTGGTATATCCCGGGGTATTTGTCGAGTACTGATTGGTACAAGGGGTCTATGGTGTGCTTAATCGTGACTGGGGATAACCTGTAACCGGAACAAGGAGTTAAGCAAACAGATAACTTAGTGTTTCCGTCTATTAACTTTCGTGAGCGTGTGTCGATGAGTAGATTGTGGTGTTGTAACAGGTCTATACCAATGATTGGCATTGAGACATCTGCAACCACGAAAATCCAGTGTATGGGTTTGCGCAAACCCACGTTAAGGTAGACGTACCTTTTACCGTAAGTAGCGATCGGTTTTCCGTTTGCCGCCTGTAAACTTAAAACAGACTCGCGAAGTCTGTCGTCGGGATTTGCTGGAAGAACGCTAACTTCTGCGCCAGTGTCGACGAGGTAGCGAACTTTCGTAGTCACATCCGTGACGTATAACAGACGGCTGTGTTCGCCGGCTACGGTTGCCGTTAACGCGTGCCGGCTGGGAAGTTTCCCGAAATCTTATTCGTGTCAGTCGCCTTAGACTTCGGGTAATTGCAGGACTTCCTGCAATTTCTAGAGGATTTACCGTACTGGTTGTGATACCAGCACCAGTCGGGATTGTCTGTCTCTCGTGGTCGAGAGTCAGATCGCTTACGTGAAACGCTTCTACGCGGGGTTTTCGACCGACTACGGTCATTGCGAACTCTAAGATATCGTGTAAGCGTGTGACATAGTTCGGCCATGTCAGTCGAGGTCGATTGGGGTTTTTCTTTGACGGAAAAAAACTCGGCCTTAGAAGATCAAGTGATTTCCAAGATTCGATCGGCAGATGCAGCTAGTTCATCTATGTCATTGTTTTGAAATGAAACAAGCACTGCCTGCACCTGTTGAGGGAGTTTAGACAAGAAAAGTTGTCTAAATAGGCCATCATCGAAAGTTCGTTGGCCGATGACTTCTCTCATTCTAAGCAACATATCCGTCGCAGAACCATGTTGCAAGTCGATATTGTTAAGGAGTTGGTCTAACCGTCGTCGATCAGTTAGGTCTCCTCGTTTTAAAATCGATAGTTTAAGCGTTTCGTAAGGTTCGGAAACATCACTAGTAAACATACTAGGTGTTACGTAACTGTTAAACTCGCGCGGTAACGCCTTAACTACCGCGAGGAAGCGTGTGCGCGAGTCCGTGATTCCGTGCATGCAAAAATCGGCTTCTGCATAGCAGAACCAGGACTCGATGTTGTCGGGTCGAAATGGTGTTAACTGAATCGAAATAGGGGGAAAAGACTTAAACTTAAGAACCTTAGGAGAGTGTTCCGTCATAGTAATATAGATAACGAAAAATGTCTATGTAAAATATATCCGAGAAAAAAAATTCGCGAAAAAATGTATATCACACTATATAAAATTCAAATAAAGAATAACAATGAATAATAATATTCAAAAATGGAACAGACTCACAGTATATTGACTTGGTGTACCAGATTACGTCGGTCTCACCAATGAATGATGCGACGGATGTTCTAGTTTTACAACTAGCTACCAGTAGCACCTTCTATATTTGATCGTTCCCAGTCAGATAGAAATCAGAAGTCAGACGAGAAGAGGAAAGATATATTTGATTCGTTACCAATATATCGAGGACCTTTTCTATGAGCTGGCTAATGAAACGTAGGAGCTGTGTCCCACGCCGTGTTGAAACGTGATCTGGTGCGGATGCATGACCGAAAGCCTTCAGTTAAACAAGTCCACTTAAACAACATGGTCAGCATCCAATGTCGAACACTTAAGGAACTATTGATTTCGGGGAATTATTTACAGCTACACAACTTTAAAATTACCATGATCTCCACAAAACCTACTTCTGAGAGATATAACAAATTCTTCAATAAAACCAGTCAGACTGTTTTTCTGAAAAACCGAAGGAGCGACAACTAAGCTGAAATTTACACTGAAAGGGACAAAAATATAGTTTGTGTTACTAAGAATGAATATTGTGATTTCCAGACATCTGCAGACTATGGAAATATCCTTAACTGAGTGATGCTCGCTGTTAGACAGGAGTCTTTAGATCATGAATGGGAAAGCGAATAACTATGAAGGTGCTTTACTTTTCTACTGTACCATACTCGGTCAACTGTGAACAAGTTTACTGCGTGCTGATATGGTCTCGTATAGTACTCAGATGAGAAAGGGTCAGCGATGTATTTGGATTATCGAACATTGATAGGGCCAGATTCAACTACTATGGGAACATGTAAACCTGTGGTATTTTCGTCTTGCACTCCTTATTGGTCTAAAACTTTGCTAAAAGGGTTGTACGATATTTGCGAAACAAACAGGGATTGTCATATAAAATCATCAGTAAATACTTAAACGAGGTTTAAATTTTTAAAATCACACTAATAATTATCATCACAGCTCAAAGTTAGATTTTATTATCCTCCAAGGACCTCTATATGAGACTACCTAATAACATAATAAGGTTTATTAGACCGAATAATATGCAGTCACAGCTTGTTAACAAATTCCCAAGGTGTATTAATGGTGCAGATCGACTCTCTGGTAGATTTATCCCAATATATATTTTTTAGTAAATTTTGGAGTTTTCCCCAAGGTTTGGGGAAATTTTCAGGAAAGACCTCAAAGTGTTATAGGATTCTGGGGAAATTTTGGGGTTTTGTGCCATCTCATCAAAGTTTTCTATTGCAGCTTCCTCAAAATTTACCGGAGACGATCAAAAATTTCTCCAAAATAGGTAGATTGGGATGAAGAGACTAACAAGGTTCTATAGTGTTTTACTTATTCAAAAGTGACTTCGTATCATCATAGACATTTCCAGCCACACACTTATAGTAGTCAATGTTGTCCAAGTTAACATTGGGCCGGTCGTTTAAACTGTTTTATGAGCTTTAGAAAAGTCTTGAGATTACCAACTTTTAACTCTTGCAGATAATCTATCCTTAAGGTTAATGTTGCTGTTTCCATTGTATGCTGTCTTAGATGTGAATTAATACAAATACCCTGGTACGGCCGAGGGTAGGAAAAGTCCGCCCTTCCTCCCGAAATGCTCTCACATGGCCATGCGTATACAGCCACTGACAAGGAATTCCTACTCACTGCCTTCTCGCGGTAGGACTGTTGTTTACGAAATTGAGAGGACGAAAAGCGAATGTCCGACGCTTTAACCGGGTATGTAGGTACGGAAAATTCACCTAAGGGAGTTGGAAAACCCTGATTTCAAACCAATGGTGCACATGGGCTCCAGAATCCTGAGAGAATAAAAGGCTTATTGTTGGTCACCGGCTACCATGGGACTGCACCTCTTAACATTGCTCCACTTCCTTGTAGATTAGACCTTTAGGTCAAAGGCTCCGGGTGTGGCCTTCTGAGAAAACCGCCTGCTTCGGTCTGGGCACCTGGGAAGTTTCATAGTCCACACACAAATTAATGATAACTGCTACTGATCTCATTGTTGTGTGGCGCATATGTATTTGTTGCCCCCTTGTACCAATGTTTATGTGTTGAAAGTAATGAATAATAATAATAATACAAAATTCCGAAATAAATGTAATAGCTTTAAAATTACTCAAATTTTTTTCAGGTGAGCGGTCAAATACTACGAAATATATGTCGGTTCATATTGATCACCAAATTTAAAATAGATATATAGTTAATACGGTTGATTTATCCACTATACTGGGTCAGGTCAGCTACAACGTAGGACCAGGCACATATATGCATCGGTCCAAGTTGCCATACCTCGTTAGCACAACAAGAGGAACACCGGATTCATAGTAGTTAATCTAGTGTTGGTAGTAGTATATAAACTATAGGTTGTATATAAGGATATAGTACAGGAAGGAAGAGAGATATGAAGCAATTTTAGTCTCAAGGTTTAAGGGAAGATAAAGAGTGTATACACCTACGCCATTGTGACCGATTCTGAGCCATGTCACCTAGAGTCTCCAACCATTGGTTACGATAGTCACGCGGACCCCAACCAGGTAGTCTGCATCTGCCAACATGGCTCAGACTAGAAGTTAGTGACTTCAAACACTGATGCCATGTTTTGGTTTGGCCGCCCCTAACTCTCTTCCAACCGTCCCCAATACTAGTCATCATAGCGCGTCGTGGTAATCGGTGTTCAGGCATACGTAACACATGGCCCAACCATCTCAGTCGATGAAGATTCATCACCTCATCAACTGATTTACCATCGTTCCCTAATACCCTGCGTCTAACCTCACTATTACTTACCCGGTTATCCCAGCAGATGCGAGCAATATTTCTAAGGCATCTGTGGTCAAATACTAGTAACCTACGAGTATCTTCTACTCTTAATGGCCATGTTTCGCAGCCGTAAAATAGAACAGAGCGAACTGCTGTGCAGTATACTCGTCCCTTAATTGATAGACGGATATCTCGTCTTCGCCATAGGTGACGTAAGTTGGCAAAAGCCAAACGAGCTTTTTGAATCCGTGCTGAGATTTCGTCTGACACCAACCCATTAGGGCTGATCAGACTTCCACTATACTGGACCTTGCTGTGGTCTATTAGGATTAAAGATCTAAAATTTTACTTCTCACTAATCATTCCTGTTTATCAATTTTAGGCTCATGTTGAATATGTAATGCAATGGATTCATTTTTACGTCATTCAGCCGAAGCCCTTGTGAGTTATTCTTTATTTGTATTATTGAACACGATAATGAGATTTCGATTTAATTTAAGATGACTATTATTGTTCGATATTTTTAGCGTTCAAGTTGTAAAAGTAAATGGATTCTTGTTGTTGGAAATGAAGCATGTGATCTAGATAGTACAGCATGTGCACTTGCCTATGGATATTATAAACAAACAGTAAGTCGAATTACTCATTTCTTTCTTATATAGATTTATGTAGAAACTTGGAAATGAGTTCATTGTTATACCTGTATGTAGTATCAATAGAGAAGATATGGTTCTGCGCACTGAAGTTACCTTCTGGCTTACTCAATGTGGTCTCAAATGGGATGAGTTGATTTATCTGGATGATGTTTTTAATGAAACCTATTCAAAAGTGAATGAAAATGAATTATTTTTGGTTCTAGTTGATCATCATTTACCAACGAAAAAGTTTAATGAATGGCCAGTCATTGAAATAATTGATCATCATCAGTTAGTTGATAATGAAACCGTTGAGAATTGTCCTTTTAAGCAAATTGATCTTGTCGGATCCTGTGCCACTCTGATCACATTCGAAATTTTGAAAGGGATGGATGGTAATTGTTTACCAAGCAATATATGGAAGTTGCTTTATGGTACTTTAAAAAATGTATGTGTACTTAATATTATATTTTTGTAGGTGCCATACTTATTGATACAATCGGACTTTCTAATGCTGGTCAAATGGCTGGACGTTTAACAGAATTAGATCTTCGCATGGCTAATCGTATCGAAGATATTATTTACAATCAGATTTTCACGCCAAATATTTCAAGAAATTCCTTATTTACTCAACTGGAAGTAGCAAAATTTAACGTTAATGGTAATATTATTAGATACACAACTTATTCATTAATCGAATCATTTGATGCAAAGTATTCAGAAAAAATTGATTAGTGTATCATATAATTAACTAAATAGTATACTTAGCTCTTAGCGGTTAAGTAGACACATGACTTTACACTATCGTTGTATGGGTTTGTAAATGGTGACAATGATGATGCCATTAACGTGGTTGCTTAAGTTCATAAGCCGACCAGGATATTTTTAACTCATTACGATGGCTTTGTGTAATTCTTGATTACAAGAGTTTAGTGCTTAAATATAACAGTCAGTTAGTCAGCTACAACGTAGGACCAGGCACACATATGCATCGGTCCAAGTTGCCATACCTCGTTAGCACATCAATATGAACACCGGATTCATAGAAATAGTTAATTTAGTGGTGGTAGTTGTCACGTCTCGTCGGTTGAACGCTATATTCGCTTCCCTAAGCTAGTTCCATACCCCCGAGCTAGAACTATACACCGGCTTGAAGACCAGAGAAAAGGCACAAAGTGTGAGGGAAGCACTTTACTACAGGGTTCATTTATGTACAGAAAATATAGGGATTTTATAGTAATTTAAGAGTTCTTGAGTTTTACCGAAAATTCTAGAATACTGCTAAACATAGTAGCAGTGCATTAATCAGCCAATCAGGATCTCCACATGTGACTTTTCCATTTTCATTATTTTAGTAACATAACTTCACATAACTCCTAATTAATTGCTGATTGGTTGAAATGCTCCTTGATGACCCATGAGCTTGTCATGTCGCTTGCGAGAAAATTGCAGGGTCATCCCAACAGTAGTATATAAAATATAGGTTGTATATAAGGATATAGTATAGGAAGGAAGAACGTTATGAAGCAATTTTAATCTTAAGGTTTAAGGGAAGATAAAGAGTGTATACACCTACGCCATCGTGATCGATTCTGAGCCATATCATTTAGAGTCTCCAACCATTGGTTACGATAGTCACGCGGACTCCAACCAAGTAGTTTGCATCTGCCAACATGGCTCAGACTAGAAGTAGTGACTTCAAGCACTGATGCCACGTTTTGGTTTGGCCGCCCCTAACTCTTTTCCAACCAACCCCTACACTAGTCAGCATAGCGCGTCGTGGTAATCGGTGTTCAGCCATACGTAACACGTGGCCCAACCATCTCAGTCGATGAAGATTCATCACCTCATCAACTGATTTACCATCGTTCCCTAATACCCTGCGTCTAACCTCACTATTACTTACCCGGTTATCCCAGCAGATGCGAGCAATATTTCTAAGGCATCTGTGGTCAAATACTAGTAACCTACGAGTATCTTCTACTCTTAATGGCTATGTTTCCCAGCCGTAAAGTAGAACATAGTGAACTGCTGTGCAGTATACTCGTCCTTTAATTGATAGACGGATATCTCGTCTTCGCCATAGGTGACGTAAGTTGTCAAAGGCCAAACGAGCTTTTTGAATCCGTTCAGAGATTTTGTCAGACACCAACCCATTAGGGCTGATCAGACTTCCAAGATAAGTGAAGTTGTCGACGCGTTCGACTAATTCACTCCCTATCCTTAGTTCAGGTGTTGACGTAGGTCAGTCCTGGAGTAACAATTTACATTTAGATGGGGAGAAACGCATCCTAAACATCCTGGCATTTTTACTCAGTTCTAACAGAAGACTGCAATTTGTCAGAGTCTTCACCAAACGGGACTATGTCATCTGCGTATTCTAAGTCAATTAATGAACCCTCTGGTAGATCAATTCCTGAAAATTCAGTCGAAGAGTGTTATTTCCAGAAATAGGTCTATAATGAAGTTAAACAAAAATGGGGATAGTGGACAACCTCGTCGGACACCACTTGAGGTTGTAAAATCATATGACAGTTCGCCATAAGCTCTCACTCGACTGGTAGTGTTCGAGTAGAGAGCCTTCACAAGGTTTATATACTTCTGAGGTACACTTTTCAATGACAGACACTGCCACAGAATCTCTCGAGCTACAGAGTCAAATGTTGCTCTTAAGTCAAGAAAAACTATCATTATCGGACGCCGATAAGCATGTTTTTGTTACAAAACCTGACGAATAGTGAATATGTGGTCAATGCAGACACAACTAGGTCTGAAGCCAGTCTGATTTTCTCGTGTTTGCAGTTCACGAGTCTTAGGCGTCCGATAATTATTGAGACTAGTATTTTAGATGATATATTAGTCAAACTAGTCCCTCTATGGTTATCACAGGATGATTTTGACCCCTTCTTATATATTGGGACAATAAGTAATTGTGACCAGTCGGATGGGATTACGTCCGACTCCCAGATTTTAGCCAGAATATTAGTCAACCTAGTCGCTAAAATTGGGCCACCATATTTAAAGACCTCCAGAGCCAATCCATCAGGACCAGCTGCTCTTCCTCGTTTCAGATTACTTACAGCCTTTTGAACTTCAGGTAGGGTCGGGGGGCCTACTTCAATGTTCCATTCAGGTTTTCTGGGAGTAGTGGGTAGTTTTGCAGTGGCTGAAGGCAGGCTGAACTGCTCCTTAAAGTGTCCCGCCCATCGTTCTAAACGTTTGGGTTGAGAGCAGATAAGGGTCTTTCTGTCTTTCTGTTTGATTTAAGCTGCCTAGTTGGGCATTAAAGTCACCTGCTGCGAGTATTGTGTCTGAGCGCTTGGCTTTTTGAAGAAGTTCAGAGAGCTTTCTGTAAAAGTCATCTTTCACTTCATCATGGCTGCAGTCAGTGGGAGCGTAAGCAGAAACGACGAAAAGGCAACGGCGTATGTCCCTTTCCTTCCGAGTTCTTACGGAGCCATTTAGCCGGTCAACACACAAGCGACTGTTAACGGGAATCCATTCTAGTAGTGCTTGTTCTGCCCTTGTACTAAGTGCTATGCCTACACCTGTAAGTCCACGAGAACTAGTCATGGGGTCGCCAGATACACGGAGGGTGTATTTCGTTGGCTGTCCATTTTGGCAAGGTGAGGTCAAGTGAATGACCACACTGGGATCCTGTATGTGTGTTTCGGAGACACAGCATACATCAATGGTACGAGATTCTAGGGTCTTAGCCAAGGAGGCCTGTTGACCGATTTGACTTAAAGTACGTACGTTGAAGGCTCCAATGTTTAGTTTGAAGCGAGGTTTTAGAAGACCTGGGACAGCGTTTCGCGCACTAGAATCGTTGGTCATGGTGGCACTTGAGGAGGAAACCGGAAGAGGAAGTTTAGTGTTAAAGTCGAGGTAGAAGGGATAGTAGGAAATGAAGAAGGAGATTGATTATGAATACGGTGGTCTTGAGTGCTGTTAGAGGTATGAGGGCGGTTATCACTTCCCAGGTGCCCACACCGGGCAAGTTTTCTTCCAGAGGTACCTGAAAAGGAAATTGGGTTAGAGGTGGTCTTAATGACTTGAGAGCGTGACCGCAGTGCCCAAGGGACAACTGCTTGAGGTCGGTCACACACGACCTTTTTGTGGGTAGTTTTTGTGTTAGCTCCGTGTGCATTTTTAGGGTCGACCTTTTCTAACCCCACCCCTCCTTGTTGGAAGGCAGCATCACTGTTATGCTGGTTGTCTGAAGGAAACACCTTACTGCTGTCGCATCTCTGTACAGTCAACAGTACGACTTTGCCTTCGGACCTTGGGTTTGCTGCTTTTAGTCTTACCGCTCTTCAACCGACCTGTCTGGCGTGGTAGGACCCTGAGGAACAATTGTTCCAGCCAGTATAGCTCGATTGGTTGATCACGATAGGCAAGCCCGACCACCACGTCAGGGTAGCAGCAACGGTCGGGATATAACAATCAGATATTGTTTTCGAACTTTTTGAAAGAATCAAACTTTTTCTATAGTTCTTGAAATATCAAATAATTTCGAAAAAGTTAAGTTAACAAATGTTATTTGTGAAAGGAATCCCATGGAGTTAATCTTTTAGATTTTAGACGGTAATTTATTGTTAGTTTTCTGAATACATAATCCACAGTTGGAAGGTTTAAACAGTGTATTATAATTTCTTGATACTTTTGTCACCATTATGCACCTCTTAGTTGATAAATACAAACTCGATTTGCAATCAGAAAATATGATCAAAATACAATGCAATCAGCACATTTACCTTGTTATTATACCATTTATTCGACATATTCTAAATGTTAGATCGAGGGATGTAAATAGATGCCTTGTGTTGACCAAGTTCAATATTTAAGGCCTTCTAGTGTATCAGTTGACTGATGTTAATAATGATCGGCTTATTCAGTACTATATAAATGTTACGATAAGGTATTCTCATCACATTGTGCAAAATACTGGAACTGATTTTTATGCATTTACATCTTGATTTCAGTAATCGTGTGAATATATATATATATATATATATATATATATATATATATATATATATATATATATAGTATTGAATAATAGCTATTTATCTTGAGTCGAAAACATTTTTGATTAATACTGCATTCACAACCTTTTCGTCGCACCGTCTTTATGTCAACTAAGTTTTTCTTAGAGCCTTAGTATTCCCATATACGGGAATGAATTCTAGTGTACTTGTGTCGTCTTACTCTGGATGATAGACCATAGAATAGTTCAGAGGGGGGTTTGTGGATAATTTAGTATTTTCATAGTTGAAATCATGAGTCAATTGAAGCTAGACCACCATGGGAAACCTGGAAGCACTGGACGGCCGTTTGACATTAACACCGTTGGATGCCGGCTCAATGGTCTATCGGTTAAGGGCTCTTGCTCGAGACTGGTAGGTCTTGGGTTCGAATCTCGCGAATGCAGGACCGTGGATGCGCACTGCTGAGGAGTCCCATAATAGGACGAAACGGCCGTCCAGTGCTTCCAGGTTTTCCATGGTGGTCTAGCTTCAATTGACTCATGATTTCAACTATAGAATAGTTGTAAATAAAGCAGATGGCTTATTGTTGATGTAGTATTAGTTGTCAATTGGTGGCAACATTTCAAAGGTTGTTTCATGACATTTACTAAGGTCGAAAGGTTCATCACTAATAGGTCATATATAGGAATTGACAAATTTGAAAAGTGAATGTTGGGTAAACTGAGAGCCATCCTCTTTATAGTAATATTTAAACGGTAACATTTCTTTCATATTGGTAAATATAAAAAGACGATGAAAAATCAAAAGAAAATCTAAAATCAAAATAATTAGTAGTGAATATAACTTTTGTCAGAAAGTCCTCAATTGTACAGAAGTCACGCAACTCTAACGCGTTTCTCATTTTCATTTTACACATAAAACTACAATTAACAGTGTTACATTCCAAGCAATAAAATGTAAGGTCATTGAAAGGAGACTATAAGTATCTATAAGTATCGTCTCAACACTGGCAAAAGCTGATATATAGGCAGTAAGATAATTCGCATATTTAACATTTTATTTTATTTATTTGGACACATAAATATTGGTACAAAGGGTCACCAAATATATATGCCCCACACAATAACAATGAGAATGTGAAGAGATAGAGAATGTTTATTTTATTTATTTATTTAAACACATAAATATTGGTACAAAGGGGCACCAGATGTATATGCGCCGCACATATCTCATTTGGTTTGTGTGAGGGCTGTGATATTGCACGGGTTCCCAAACTGAAGCAGGGGTTTTCTTGGGGTACCACACCCGGAGCCTTTGACCTAAAGGTCTGATCGACAAGGCAGTGGAGCATCGTGAGGAGATGCAATCCCATGGTAGCCGGTGACCAACGATTGATTTATACTCCGTTTGTTCCTTCAGGATATTGGAGCCCGTTTGGCGATGACGCAAGCGACTTTACTCGCCATTTTCATGATGTCATGCGATTGCAACCAATGCTCATCTATACTTTTCGGTGGGATGGTAGCTAACCTAGAAGGTAGCTCGGTTTGATATTTAGTTGCAACAGAAGTTGAAACCAATTTACTGACATTGATCCGCTTAGGACGATGAATTTGTTGGCCACTGAAACATAAGATTAGGGCAAGCAAGGGCATAATAAGAGTCCAGATAGGTAGTCCAAAAGTAGATGAAGTCTTGTGCACAACCGCGCCAGCGGTAGCTGATCGCGATGTGATTAATCTGAGTCCAGGCTTGAGATGCAGATGGAGGACGCCAGGTGACACATCGGCGATCACTGTGCCGGAAGTTGGTACTAGCCAGAAACAGGTTGTGGTCTGCGCACAGTTGCTACATGGTTATCCGTAAAGTATATAAGGTCTAGCGTTAATTATATGTTGGTGCAATAAAAGTTCACAACAACACTTTATTCGATAAAAGTTAAAACCACTTTTAAATAAATTTAGGAAAATCTTACAATTTCCCTACATATAAGCAGTAGTTACGATTAATTGTAAAATTGTTCATTATTATTTATGAATTATTTTTGTACAGGGCTGTCTACATGGGATTTATTACGTCGTGATATGAAAATTGTTTCTAGTCCAAATAAAGATGCGTTCCAATTTGTGTGCTCTACTGTATCTGGAGTTGATTTTACGGTAAGCTGTGAGTTGTATAACAGTGTTTATTAGTGCCAACTGGTAATTGTCTATCAGTTTAAGCTTTCTTATAGGTTTACATTCAAAACTGTTACAAAGTATTTTTATCATTTGATTGATAAACAATAAGCAGTCAATTTATTTGATTGATGTAAAACATATTTTCCATTGGGATTTGGTTTCCACCACTCACGGACATTAGTTACAAAATCATTGGAAATTAAGAACCTATACAGGACAGATACTTTTTTCTTGTTTGGAACTCAGTATTAGTCACTTAAAATCATGTCAGGAAGTAAACTGAGGACTTATACGTTTTGCGATGAGCGCAATACGTTTGGGTCCTGTCGTTTTGAGTTCACTGATCTAAATTTTTAACTCCATTCATTTCACAACATTTTATAACCATCTGTCTGGATTCTGATACAGTGATTAAGCTCAGTTGACTCAGTCAATCACAGTTTTTCTTTAAAACTTCGAGAATACATCTTAAAGCTAGGTCATTATTGGGAACACATCTTGGCAACATAAACGATTTGTGGAGGTTGTTCATTTCAGAGTTAGTTTTCAGCTTGGTCTGGATAAGGACTAGATATGGAGTCCCCTACTGAGATTAAACATCTAGCCGGTATTTTTGGTTTTCAATGGTTTACCAATTGATGTCAGTCTGTTTACTTGGTAAGGTCCATTTTACTCATTTATTCTTTGGATTGAATTATAGATTTTAATTAAGGGTGGGAGAATTCATAAATCCTGTTTCGTGGATTAATTACAGCACATTAAAAATCATCCACAATTGTTTGTTCTCAATAAGGTTTGCTTAAAGTTTGTTAAGTCTCCAAGATTTCTGAATACTATTTTAAAAACAGTTTTTTCCTAAATTCTGGAAAAATGTCACTAATGATGAAATCAAAACATTTCTGGGTATAAAATGTTTGCAAAATGACTAAGGATAAATGAGGAAATACACAACTAAGTTGGTTCAGTTTCTATCTATCTGTTAGACTTTCATATAAACAAGAAAGTGCTAAAAGAAATTTGGAGATATATGATATTTGCATCACTTTGGAACTCAATAAATAAGAATAATACTTTGATGTTCAAGTCATTTGACTTCCTACCACTGATTTGGATGTTCGAAACATTCTCTGTCTATTTCGATTCGGACAGATAAAGATTACGCTATTTTTCTAGACATTACGTCAGTGATACTTTAAAATAAACTCATTCTATTCGTGAAATTTTCTGCTTTATTAATCATAGTTTTTTTTAATCTGAATTCACCGTTGTAAAGCTAAATTTTAGGCTGTTCTCCGAATTATTTTCTTTCATTAGATGTTAATCAATTCTCCTGACTTTACTGAAGCAGCCAACCGGATTTGTGCTAAATATAATGCCAATTTACTTGTTTGTCTTACTGTTGGTTATCCCCTATCGGAAAGTTCATCGATACCTTCATCGGAGTTGACAACTTTTCGAAGAAGATCTCTGATTTTGTATAATATGAATTTTCCTGCTGGACATTATAGTGATGCAAGTATTTACATTTAGTTTCATCTCATTAATTCTCGTCTGGGTTTATTTGTGGAACTATGTATATGGAGTTTGTACTCAATGCAATTTATTTTAAGCTTACTAAATATAACACTAAGTCGATAGTAGAAAACATTTCTCATCAGTACTAGGATTACCTGTCACACTCCTACATGCTGTTCTGTTTCATAGGTTTTATAGTCATATATCTATTTTTTACTTTCTACAGAGAGTCCTTGTGAAAACTAATTATTATTGTTGACTGATTCTCACAGGACTTTTCAACCTTAATACTGAAAATCGGCAAGATAAATGTTTTCAGCCGTTTGCAACAGTTTTTAGACTCAATAATTTGAGGCGTTTAAAGTATTGCCTTCCCTCTACTTTGTTTGAAAGTACTTATTTAAAAAAAGAATGAAAATAATTAGTGAGTTACTTCTCACCTTTGAAATTTGGTTCACTTTCGTTTTTCAAAGTTTAATTCTGTAGATCATTATTCATACAATGCATGTCAGTCAATAATGTACTGAGATTTTTCTATAATAAAACCTATTCGAGTTATAAAATTCTTAATGCATTAACATAATTTGCTGTTCAAGTTTCTACAACCGAATGTCATAGACTGCTAAACGATTCTTATTCTCAATTACCACACTACATTACTAAAATTTATTTCTCTTTATTTCATTTTTTGTTTAGTTTCTGCTGTTAATACTTAAGTTCATTTAGAAATTCACGATTAGCTGTCAGTTCATAGTTATTTCTAAAGTGTAGGGTTGGTAGTCATTTCAAGCTGCTAATTTCAGTAATTCATTGATTCACTGTTTACAAAAGTACGAAGAGGCTATTAAATGATCATCAATAAAATAACGATAAAGGTTAATTGTCAAATCAAACTTAAGTCTTTTGCACTTAACCTCACTTTTATTCATTATTTATTTTTTCCTATTTATTATAGCTGATTAAATTTCTCCTGGATCCGAAGCTTAATCTAGAATTAATTCCTCAGTCTATCCCTGACTTCAGTCATTTTATAGCAATTGTGAATAATGTCAAAATGACACGTAAAATTCTACTACCTTTATTGGTACAGTTTATTCAGCAATTGGGGTCTCCAAGTGATACTGGAACTTCTAATAACAATCCCAAGAATGATATCGACAGTAATGATGATTGTAACAATGTTGTTATGAAGTCGGACACAAGCATCAATATCTCTTCAACAAACACTAAAAGTTCACATTCACTTGATACAAGTCCCAAGGTGGGTCTATTTTTGGTGTAGCCGAATAAACAATTAGTACCCAACTTAATCTTTTCGAAAAAAACCCTGAAGAAGTCTTTTGCCTTCGTATTTCAACTTACAGAAATATTCATTCATTTATCGTGATGATTTAATGTATAGTGATTCAATGGTTTGATAAAAAGTCTTGTTTTTGTACTGGCTTTTATCCTCTATCAGTCTGTTGAGAGCTATTTATCAAGAAATAAATATATTAAACTGCATAACCAAATATGTTAACTAATGTTTTTATTCATGATCTTAAATGATGTGATCTGATTAGTCTGTAAGAACTATTATAGAGGGCTTAGTTGTGTATTTTTTTTCTAACTTAAGTTTTTCTGGATATTGTTTGAGTACATAAAATTAAGCAACTTATTATTCACATGCGAAATCATACAACTAACTGAAAACCTTATAAAGTCAGGAACAACGATTTTAATAGAGCAATACTAATTGATTAATTTTGTGTATTTTTTCACCTGCTTACAATCTGGAAATAGTAGTATAAATTATTAAAGTCAAAATAAGTATACATAATTTATCTAAGAAAAATTTTGATTAAATCTGGATTGTAAACAATAATTGTAAAAGAATGAAAAATTGTTTAAATAATTATTTACTCATAAGCTAAATATATGAGTATAGTTTAGGCGAGAAAACTGAGAAGAGAATAAAAACAGAATTTTTTCAAACGAAAAATTTATGTCATAGTCTATAAATTATAGTTAACATAAATTCTGACAAATGTTACGTTAATCATCCAAAAAATACTATCTTTCGATCGAGTGAGGAAATAATAAGTCAGTATTGATTTGAGAACATCATGGTCTCCAGATAACACAAATTTCCTGTAAATGATATAAATGTACGATTGCGAACTAAATCAATCATAGTTATGTATGATTAGTGTTGGGGGGAAACACTTCTGGTACTATTGTCGCATTTCTTCATCAAATAAGCTTTCATTTTGTTAATCAGGGTTTTCATTAAAGTTGAGACAAATTCACTTTGTATACTTCCTCTCTCTCATTTCATAGTTTTTTTTAAAAATAAAGTGTATTTAAATCTCACAATTATTTTAAGATTGTTAAATACATTAAGCTTTTTTAACATTTATTGGGGAAATTTTATTTTTAGATTTGCAGAAATAAGATAACATGTGGTTTGTGAGTGTAAGGTTACTTCTGAACTAGGGTTAATTAGAAATAGCTTTTACCAAATGATTCCACGACAATATTCAAAATCAGTGACATGTCTTTTACCGAGTTTCATTCACCTAACCGTCCCAGTACACTTTGTGTAATGTATTTATTCCACAACAAATCAGTCTAAGTTTTTTTACAGAGCATCGATGAAGCTCTTATGCTCAGTCATTTCAAATACACTAACAAAAGTTTTATATATCTATCACAAGATCTGTCAAGTAATCTTTCTGTTTGTAACTTTAGATGTGGGTCAGTTGTCAGTTTTCTTCAACAATAACTATTATGATGTATACTTTGTAAACAGTATTGATCGTACAGTCAGTCATTCAGCAACAACGCAGAACTTCACACGTACGTACATAAGTTCGAGTTGTCATACCATATTAGTATAGAGATTCAATTGTTGATACAAATCCTATAGTGGTGAAGGTAGTAAAAGTATAGGTAGTAATCGGAAAGACTAGGGTTTGAAGATGTCGTTCAAGAAGTATATATTCTAGTGAAACAAATTTGGAAAGAGAAAAAAGGAAGGGACACAAAGAATTCAAAAGATTGGAATTCGGCAGAACACAAACAGTAGATGCACCTTTGCCATTGCAAACAATTTTGAGCCCTGTCATTCAAGGTCTCCAACCATCCTTTGCTACGATCTCGCGGATCGCAATCAGGTAGTATACACCTACCAACATGGCTCAGTCCACTTGTCAGTGACTTCATGGATTTGTGCTATGTTTTGGTCTGGCTGTCCCTAGCTTTCTTCCAACCTACTCTTACACCATAAAACATTGCACGTCGAGGCAGTCGGTGGTTGGGCATATGTAACACGTGTCCCAGCCATCTCAACTGATGAAGTTTCACTACTTCATCAATCGATTTGCTATTCTTACCTAATACCCGTTTCCTAACAACTACATTACTTACTCAGTGGTCTCAGGATATACGAGCAATGCTTTGAAGATACCTATGATCGAAAACTAGTAGCCTACGAATATCCGCTACTCTTACCGGCCATGTTTCACTGCCATAAAATAGGACGGAACGAAGTGCTGCGCAGTAAACCTGTCCTTTGGTTGCTAGACGGTTATCGCGCCTACGCCATAAATGACGCAAGTTGGTGAAAGCTAGATGAGCCTTCTGTATCCGTGCTGAGATTTCGTCACACAACAGACCAGAAGGGCTGATGAGACTCCCAAGATAAGTGAAGCTGTCAACACGCTCAACTACTTCACTCCCTATCATTAGTTCAGGTGTCGATGTAACCCAATCCTGAAGTAACATTTTGCATTTCGAGGGGAGAACCGCATCCCGAATGTGCCTGCATTGTTGCTTATGGTAGTCAGAAGATTTTGAATTTTGTCAACGTCTTCACCAAATAGAACTATGTCATCGGCGTATTGTAAGTCAACAAGTGAGTCTCCCAGTAAAAGTTCAACTCCTGGAGATTGAGATGATGAAAGTGTTATCTTTAAAAGCTTGTCGACGACAAAGTTAAGCAAGAATGGAGAGAGTGGACAACCCTGATGAACACCACTTGAGGTAATAAATTCTGATTACAGTTCGCCATAGGCTCTAACTCGACCAGTTGTGTTCGAGTAGAGAGCCTTTATAAGGTTGATGTACTTCTTTGGTACTCCTTTCAGTGATAAAAACTGCCACAGAAATACTACGATTGTGGGACGTCTGAATGTGTGTCTATGTTCTAGGACCTGACGTAGGGTGAATATCTGGTCTATACAACCACGTCCAGGTCGGAAACCAGCTTATTTTTCTCTTGTCTGCTCTTCACGAGCTTTGGTTAGTCGTCGAAGTATTATTGAAGCTAATATTTTAGACACTATATTAGTCAAACAGATTCCTCTGTGATTGTCACAGGAGGACTTTTGTCCTTTCTCATAGACTGGCACAATCAGTGATTGGGACCAGTCAGATGGAATTACGTCCAATTCCCAGATTCTACTTAAGACCTCAGTCAATCTCACTGCTAATACTGGACCGCCGTCTTTAAAAATCTCAGGGGTAAACCTATCAGGACCTGCTGCTTTCCCTCGCTTCAGATTTCCTATAGCTTTTTCAACCTCGTAGAGAGTTGGAGGACTTAAATTAACTTGCCATTCAGGTCGACTGAGGATCGTGGGAAACTGAAGTGACGCTGACGGCCAGTTGAACTGATCGTTAAGGTTTTATACCCATTGTTCCGATCTCCTGGATTGAGAGTGAATAATATGTCCATCTTCTTCCGATATAGTTTCGCTGACAGTTGGGTTCCTAATACCGGTTTCCTTAACAAGTCTGAACAGTTGTCTGCTGTTACCTATTGCCGTTGCCTTCTCCATCTCTCTTGCTTTCGTTACCCACCATTGTTCGCGATCATTGCGTAGGCTTCTTATTAACCTGCACTTAAGTTGACTCCACTCTTCGTCATGTTCAGAGCCAGATGGGATGAGTTTTCGAGCATCTATCGATGCGGTGGATGCTACTGAGATCCAGTGTTTCTCCCTAACCTTATGATTTACCGTACTAGCAGATATCACTGCTGTTTCCACAGCTTTTCGGATGTCATTCGACACTGCCTCGGGGTGGGCACAACTTACATGGCTACCTAACTGTTTTTCTAGTTGTTCCTGAAATACATTCTTAGCTTGCCTATTAATAAGTAGAACCCTAAGAGCTTTCCTTGCAGCGTCTTTTCTACGTCCAGTAAGACGCAGACAGATATGTGCTCGCGCTAGAGCGTGGTCTGAACCTAAACATGTGCTCCAGAATGAGCGACAGCATTCTACCGAGCCCCCCCCCGTCGGCGGCTGATGGCGATGTGATTTAGTTGGGTCCAACGTTGGGACAAATTCGGGGGTCGCCATTTCAAAAGATGTTTCCTCTTGTGCTTAAGGTTAGTATTTGCAAGAAACCTAAAGATGACAATCAGTAACATTGCTAATGACTATCAGAGGTTAGTAGATCTTTAGTATTTATCAATAAAGCTCATAAAAAGTTTGACCTGTCTTTAGTTAGCGAGGAGTAAGAACGTAGTGGGAACCAGTCTTATTCATCACCGCTGAAGTTGAAGTTACAAACTATTAATTTAGTGCACAAACGTATTGTTTTAAAATGATTTGGGAATATATTTTTAGAAAATGAAAATATTTTTATTGATGTAAACATTTTATTTGATTAACAAGGTGGTTTTACCACTGGTTTTCAAAGTTGGCGTAATGGATTCTGTTGATGATTCAGTGATGGGAATTGCGTTCCTTAACAAGTCTTTTGTCGTTCGACGCATATATATATCGAATATGCTATTGTGTTTTTATCGTACATGTTGTCAATATGCAAATGATTCAAAGTAAAGGACTGTAAAATTCATGACACTTCTTGAGAGGTGGAAATCCTCTCCAAATTATCTTTATGAAGTTTTTTGAAGTTCAAAATATTAACTACATTTTCGACGAGACTATAATTTATGGGCGGACCAATCAGATTTAGGATAACATGTCTTGGATTTCGGCGCGAAATTTACTCATCCATTTGGCCAATTAGCGTCTCGGCATTTTAGCTGATGTCGGTTTGTGATGAAAAACCATAAATCTATTTCTTAACCCTAATCGTCAGCTGTGAATCATAATCCTTATTCTTCAGACTGCTTTATAACTCTCATTTAGCCCTAGTAAGTAGGTAGACACTCTCAAGGTCACTTTGGCGTCGCTCAAAGGTCGTCCATAAATTAAAGCCTCACCACATTTTCTTTAGAACAGTTCACTAAGCAAGTTTTCATCTTAATTCCATTTAGTTGAAGTTCAGCTATATGCGGAACTACTAATAAAAACAGGTATTTCTTTGTCTGACACTTTTAAGACATTAAAGTTTTGGTTATCTGAATTGCGTGTGAGCTCAGTATTTGATAGTCAACACGATGGTTATAAATCACACATTTTTAGGATAGATTGTGAAATAGGGTCTTACAATTTATATTTCACATCACTCATTTTTTTCTATAACCATTTCAGGAAGGTCTACTGGAAAGGATAATAACCTACAATCAGTAATGAGATGTTAAACTGTACTTCAGTAGATGGCTGCGTATGGATTTTTATGGAGGTTTAAGCTACTTTTAAATGGAATATGTTTTTGAGTTAATATAATTTAGTGATTCTTCATCTAAATTACCAGAAGTGGCTGACAAATGAAGATTTGTGTCATCTGAAGTCTATAATTCTATTCCAATATCGGTTGTGTTTTTTCCTTGATTCTTTGAAATGCGGAATAGTCTCTTGGAAGATAAATGTATCTTTCATGCCTCCATTGTTAGGTGTTTGTTGAATGATACTTGCAATTGTGTTATCCCCTTATATCTGTTGGACAAGTTAACATGTAATTATTCATGTCCTACTTTTATTAAAAGAAAGTCTTTTTGCCAATAATAAATCAAAAATCAATAAATACCTTGCAACATAATTTTGTTCTTAACAATATAGGTTTATTTTCACCACATTCTACAAATCCCATGTTTATTACTTTGTTTTTTCCAATTTTCAGTGTTCATCGGATCTGAAAGATAAGGCGAGGAATGCTACTAAATTTGCTCTAAAAGATGTCATTCCTTCTCTCAAGAAGTGGCTTTTACCTTTGCCTTCTCATGAGAGATATGAATTTCTGAGATCCTTTTGTCAATGCTCTCTAAAAGAAAATGATAGTCCATCATTGGATTTACTAAATAGTTTATGGACCAGTATTTGGTGTGAAACTAGAAAAACTTCTAAAACTGTTAAATCTGCCGTTGGTACACAAACACCTCTACCGAAATTAATGTGGTTGAAGTCACACCATACCCGACGTGTTGCGAGTATGGTTCAAGGTAATAGTTCAGCAATGAGAGCAGTAAGTTGATTTAATTTACACATTAAATTCACCTGTAAAATATATCAAACTGAGATTGTTTCTATGAGAATCTATTATTTTTAATTCCATCAAATGTCATATCCATCAGCTATGTCTTGTGGATACTTATGTACAATCCTAATGATAATAATTTCTTTTTAAATACAAATTGGATGATCAGTTACTGTTATACAGTTAACTATTATGAATGATCAAGAAACTAATATTTTTTTGACATTTATTTCTTTGGAGCGAGTGTATTTGTATTTATAGTTAATCGTCCTTAGATTTAATTCTGTACAATATTCCTATAAAGTTGCATCTTTGTAATTCCAACCATGCGTGATTACCCTAACATTTTGAATCATTTTGATTGTCTACATCTTCTAGTCGGGTCATATAGAATAGTATTCTTTTACCTTTAGCGAAAAACATTTGTTACATAAAATCAAATGAACGTAAAAGAAATATTTCCTGTAAAAAGATTTTATAGTGATCAGAAATAAATTTTATAAAGTTTATAGAGCAGTCTTGCTTTCTTCTCCCATAAAATTTCAACCGACCATCAACTTCTTAAGGAAAACCCAGAACCTTTTAAGTACCTAGTTTTATATTCATCAAGCTAGTTTATTGATTTTTTTCAGTATTGTTTTCTTATTCGATGTACTAAAATACTGTGGTCACTTCCATGGAACTAGAAAGATGTATTTGTTGTTAATGCATTACGTTCAAATTAAAAATATATTAATTACTATTCTTTATTTGGTGACTCGATACCACACAAATTCGTTTTTGGACAATAAAATATATATTCTTTGCTGAGATATTCAACCTACGTAACATACTCATAACAGTCATATGTTTTTAGATTTCAGGTAAAATGGGGGGTTTCAAATCTACTCGGCGTTTCAGCTTATCAGATACCAAAGATCTTACACTATATAGTGAAAAAATACCTAAAGGTCGATTGGATCTCTCATCATCACGTTTTATCCATCGTATATCTGATGAAAATTTATGCATTTCCGATTCTGAAAATACTAAACCCAGTTGGTTAGAGGTAAAGCCAAGTTCACTTATTATTATGTTGAAGCATTATATCTATAACCTATTCTTTTTGACAAGGTATTATTTTCTGAATATTTGACACATAGAAATTCGTTGCATAAATTTGTATTTGATGAATGGTATTTCTATAGTTTTTATATTGAGTTTTACATAGTTATCTTTCGTATAGTAAATTGTAATTAAAAAAACAAGGGATAACTGTATTGACCCTTATAGATTTAAAGAATTGGTATTGAATACGAATATGTGGTGTTATTCAATGAGCTAATTTGATTAGTTAATATTAATAAACCGATATATTGTGATTACTTACAGATTTATGGTCTTACACTAAGTGATATTCTTCCAGAAAGTCGAACCAGTCTCATGTAGTGCCTTACCTATAAATATTTATTGTATTTTTATGAAATGGATGGATTTTTCGTTAGCAGGACAATTTAGGACGTACGTTTCTTTCCACTTGGAACTGGTAACCTGGATGTATTCAACGTATCCTAGTGTCGATGTTCACTCCGAAACTCGAACCTCGTGTCTTTCGCTTCAGATGCCCAACACGTTATCCACTGGGATATTCACTCTAGATAACCATCCACTTGTGGAACAGATATGGCATATCATTATTAAAAAAGACTTGAGTAATCTTCTTCTTAATAATTCATCGCTAGTGAAAAATCCATCTATTTTATATAAACTTGTGATAAATGACTATATCGAGTTAATCCGTAAAAAAAGATCGAAATTCACTTAAGTTTATAAACAACGGGATAATTAGAATCTTTTTTAATAATGATATATTTATTCTATTATTTATCTATTCAAACATAAAGAAGCCAAAAAATGAGATGACAGTGTTAAGAATGACGGTATTAGAGAATATTGCTCAGATAAAAACTCAATATAGGTAATGCCTTTATCTATCACTCGTATGCCTTATAGTTTACTCCAAACACAAAACAAAACCCCTTCAAAATAACCTCATTCGGGAGCCTGTACAACCTAGTTCAACACTCAATCTACATTCCACGGTATCGTACCATAAATTGGTTGCCTCTTCTTTTTGTACTGAGAGCTAATAATACTCTCTATGGTAACTAGTGAGATACCTCAAGTAAAAATTGTTCAAGCTATCCAAATATGTATTTCACGATAACTTAAATTATTGTGGTCACTAGTTGCCGAATGTGAGAGTTGTTTAGACGGTGTTACTACTGAATACCGGCTGTTATCAGAAAACAACACTGTTCGAACACAAAGCCGTTAAACATTTTAATGCTCAGATTATACTTCTTAGTGATCTGTTTTCCTTTTTCTCTATGTCCACCTGTTTAAAGTCTTCTACTGTCATGATCGTTTAAATGTAGTTGAACAACAGCCTTATATTTTTTACGATCCTGCATGTAAATTTCCACAATGTGACAGCAGCTGTTTCAAAGTAGCCGACTTTTTAAAGTGATTATGTCGTCAACAACCCACAACCAAAATAGGTTCTGTGAAAAGTATAGTGTCATTATGAAATCAAGGTAGCAGTTATTTAGGTGCGGGAAATTTTTTTTCCGGAATATAATTTACTGTTTACATTTATAATCCCCTGTCTTTTGCTTAAAATGTTCCTGTTATTAATTTTAAGGGATTTATTTTATCCTTCTTTTTAGTTCATTAGACTTTCTGTCTAAGCCAAGTTTTATGACATGTTTGCGTTTAATAGACTAAAATACAGCAACACTTTTATTCTTTATTTTTTGGTGCTAATAATTTATAATATCTTTGCTAACTTGTATTTCTCTTGTTATATTCCTTTAATTCAGACTGAATATTTAACTCGCATTCCTGCCTGGTTACCGTCTACTTTTACATCAACTTCCTTAGATTCAGCTGAAGCAATCAGTTATAGACTTTATCGTCGTTTGTCAGGAATGCCGTCGTCCAAGGATTACGAAGATGAAGTGTCTTACGACCATACATCGTTTCAAAGAGATAATCATGATGTTCACATCATACATAATAAAGATCAGGACAATGATTATAATAAACTTGAAGATGATGAATTAGCTTTACTCCGAACATCTTTTACAGATTGTCGACAATTATTCTTAGATAAACAAACATCAACATCTAATTTATCCAACTATACTAGCTGGCTTTCTAGTCATCCGGATCATATCACCGAACAAGGTCTTAAGTTTCTTAAATTAGACTTCGACCTTCAGGTTAGTTAGTTATTTTACATTTAAAAAAAAATCAATAATGACGATATTAATTGGCGAGGATGTAGTAGATTAATAAAAATGATATAATCGAGGTTCAAAAAGTACTCCCTAAACTATCTATCCTACAAATACTACGTACTTAACATTTTCTACCAAATATTATAAGTGTACTATACTCTCTCTTGGAATCAGTTAATCATAAGCAACGTAGAACGTAGGACTTGTGCATCGGTTCAGTTTGCCACACCGTATTAACATAGATAAAACTGTCAAGAGAAATCCCAGAGTAGTAAAAGTAATAATAATAATATCAGTGGTAGTGGAGAACATTAAGTATAGACAATATGATTTGAGAAAAAATTAATTTGCGGAATAGAAAGATATACGGTAATTTTAAGACACAAGATCTAAGGGAGAATGAAGAATGAGTGCATCTGTGTCATTGAGACCAGTTCTTAGCCATATGTCCTACAATTAATCACGATAATTACGCGTTCTCCAAGTACCTAGACCGCTCAAACCAACAACCAGTGACTTCTTAAAGTGATGCCTTGTCTCGATTTAAAATGTTTCTGATTATGTTGCTAATTGTTTGTCTTCTGTGCTTGTCCTTATAAGTAGGGAGTCATCATTTTCTCTACTGTGGAATCGTAACAAAATAATAAAGGAAATTAGCTACTCAACTTAAAAAAGATTAGTTGAGTCTTTGTTGTAAAATCATTTTATTTTTTATCCATTCAAACTGATAATTTGATTATTATATGCAAGTCAAGCAACATAATTTATAATGCATCACCATTCAGTCATCATAACTTTAGTTTGTATTTAAACAAAGAGAAGCAGTGAAAAATCAGATCTCTGTGTTAATAGCCAAGTTACTTTAAAATTGTCATCCAATCATATAGCATGTATCAGAATGTATCGGTTGTGTATAATATATATATTAAAAAGTGTAGATTTTTTCACAGATTTTTCTGAATGTAGATAAAGATATGATGTTGATTTATTTGGAAATAATAACAATACAAGTCTTATAAAAATAGACTACTCGGTTATTTGAAAAGTAGTATCGACTTAATCGCACATGTTATGAAATTGTAAATATTCTATTTAACTTTTGTACTTTTAATAGTTCCTTTTTGATTGAGATCATGAACCAATTGATGCTAAACCACAATTAGAAGCCTGGAAGCACTAGACGGCCGTCTCGTTCTACTGTGGGATTCCTCAACAGTGCGCATCCACGATCCCGCCCGCAGAATTCGAACCGGTGGAGTTAACTCTTGTCGGGTAGAGACAAGTATCTACCCCAGTACAATGAAAGATGGTCGCGCAATTCCATGGATTGGCTGAAGTTAGACATAAACACCGTCGGACGCCGGCTCAGTGGTCCTGAGGTTAAGCGCTCGCGTGCGAGACCGAAGGCCCTGTGTTCACATCACGCGAGCGGGATCGTGGGTGCGCACTGTTGATAGAACTGTTAATAGAACAATTTTCTAAAGTTTTATTTGGTCGGTATTATACAAGTTTTCTAATTTGAAATACCTGTCTTTCGCTTTCTTTTTTAAACATTTCATATTACAGCCTGCGAAAACTGAAGATATAGGTAAGCACTTTTTATCCATTTTGTCTGAGTATTTTTATACACCTTTACCGTTTTTTTTCTTCAAATGATATACAGAAACTTGAAACAGTAGATCCTTTCCCAAAATTTGATGGCACTCTTAGTTAATAAAACCTAAAATTCATTCATTTTGCAATAAAGCCGAATAAATCTCGTTGACTTATTCACTACAAGTTTTCTGTTATTGATTTTAGTTGTATCACGGACTCCAATATCCTACAGTCACTATCATGTATTAAGAGTGGGGATTGTGTATTATTAATAAAATGTGCTTCAATTACGTTAATTGGTTAAAAAATTCACCATGATCAATTAGCCTATCTCCCTTATCAAAATACTCTAATAACTTTCTAAAAGCATCGGTGGTTTTACGTACTAAGTTATAGTTTCAGTCATTTCTCTGATTAATTTAGTTTTGGCGATCGAGCACTATCTCCTATAGTCATGCAACAACATGTGTAGGTGAAAAACGTTTTCACGAAACTGTGGGTATTCAATTATTGATAGTGAAATTTATTATTTGCATCTTAAACAGTTAATCACTGAGTAGTAGTAACTAATTGAATGTTTATTTTTTTAGTCATTATTGTTGATTGAATTACATTGTGGTCAGCTCTTTAAGTGATGCTGCGGTACTTGTGTCCCCCATCTCTTATCAATATTTGTGCTACCAGATTAATTTTATGGAAAAAAGATTAATTTATATAAGAAATGTTTATCATTTTACATTTGGTGTGAATTGATCTATAAACGAACTGTTTGTTAGTAATTTCATATTTTTATTCATTGGATTGCTAGTGAAAGGTAGCATTTTATTAGAAATATCCTATTCGTCGTGAATAATTGAAGTACTTTGCATAGTCTGCTATATCACTAAATATAAATTCTATCAGAACGTTTAATAATCGTTAAAGATCAGTTATTTAGAGAACTGGTGTTATAAGTCTCAATTATATTTATTTTGTATGTAGATGAGTATTTATATTTCCTGACGGGTAAAAAATTGGAATTGAACAACCTTACTTTTTTACTCTCTTTGGTACTTTTAAGGAAAATATAAATAATACTCGTAATTTTTCATTAGGTATATCTAATTGTTAATCTTCTAGATTTCCTTTTCGTTATGTGATTTTTGCAACCTTATCTTCTCATTATTCTTTTTGACTCGTTGCTTTTGTGTTGCTTTTCTTTCACGATGCTTCAATTGGTCCTATTTTGACCTTTTATGGCATTATTATTCTTTTCGTTTATAAGCATCAGTTGGCAATTTTTATGTTAAATAACACGTTGTTTATGGAAGACTGATATTAATAGTCTAGTGAATATCTATTTTCTGTTCTGTGTTAGATTCTTAGTTGGGAGATATGTTGATCATTCAACTTTCTCTTTGGTTTATACTTGTTTCATTTTAAACATATGAACTTATTTCTTATTATTAGTTTGTAAATGTTCATCGAGTTACACATAATTACCAACAGTTCACCGTGACACATTACATCTTTTAACTGATGGTTAGGTATTTTAAGTTGTTTACATGAGAATTTCTGTTGGTAGCTCCGATTTGTCATATTTTTCACATTTATTTGTTGGTTATTAACCCATTTTGCTTTAATTCTTGCTACCGTTTGTGTTATTTCTCCCGGATATTATTATTTTATACATTCATTGCACTGCACATAATTGTACTACTAAACTGTTATTTCATGCTCTATGTTCTCAAGTAATTTGTGAACTCGACCATAATTCCGGTTACTGCTTAACGAGACTGGGTCTATTCTGTACATGTTTTGTAATGTCAATTAACCCAGGAATGAGCGATTGCTTAATGAATAAACTCACGTTATTAATTTCTCCCACTTAAAACAAAAACCAATCAGCAATATCTTATAAGCATGAGCAAATATATGAGATGGCTAATACTGAGGTTAGCGAAAGTATAAATCACAATTCATATGTCCCTGTTCTACTGTCTTCAACCGTTAACTAATCATCGTTTACTTACGCCGGCGCAACAATAGGTAGACACTTTTTTCACACTGGGTGCAACAATTAGTTTTTTAATAGTGAGGTATCTGCTAGAATGGTAGTTTATTTTTAATCTGTACTCTTAGGTGTACAAATATGTATTGGTCCACTCAAGGCTTTGTTACAAAAACTATCCAAATAATAGAGCTACAAATTTATATTCTTTCAGAATCAACTATACAATGGGGTTTTCATTCAAATATTTTCATTTTATTCAGTATGTATGACTAGGTGTATTTGAAGTTTTTACTTAATTGCTACGTTATAGAAACTACTAGACACCCTATGTATCAAAGCTTTTTTTAAAATATGGTATTCTCATTGATTATTTTCAGTAATTATTCTCTTAAAATACGTTTGTGTAAATGATATTCTCTGTTATTACTTCAAGATATGACACTAAAAATGAATAAATCGATACTTACTAACGAACAACAAAGTCACCAATCCTTTCATGTTACATTTGATCTTGGCTGTACAGAAAATTCCAAATTAATGATATCAGGCGAGTAAGTTTTGATTAAATATATCATTGAAATTAAGTATTGAATTATTTATTCGTTTATATTGGTGTTTTCCAGCTGTCTACATCTTATTTTAATGTTCTATCCAAAGAGATAATGTAATATTTCACAGTTTTGCTCCGTGTATTGGGTACATTACTTTTCCCGAGTATTTTAATTATAGACTAATAAACAGATAGTCGATTGTGAATTTAAAACTGTTCTACACCGCTTTTATGTGAGAAATTGAGAAACTCAGCAAAGTTTTAGGGTGAAATAAATTGAATATTTATCTTTTTATCTTGGAACTTTGTCAAATAACCTAATCTATCTATTGGTCAGTGGTTTGTTTTTAACAATTAGGTCTTTAGTTCATTTCTTTTTACCCATACTTTGATTAGAATATGGATGTAATATCTCTAGTTGTCTTACTTTTAACCACAGTTATTTTAAGTAGACATATAGATCGCACCAAAACACAAGAGGATAGAGTCGATACAGTCAATCAGTCAAACAACTTGGTAGAGGAAGTACTGTTGAACAAATAGGGGAATTATTGAGATTAGGATCAGGTCTTTCTGACCTAGGGGAGACGAATTGACTGCCCACTTTAACAATCTTATTGTCTTGTTCCGTGTCAGTAAATACAGTGATTGTAAATAATATTCATCTTGGCGTTCTTGTTGATGGTGAAACAAATCAACAAAGTCAGCCACCTAAAGTAGTCCTTCATACGGTGGTTATAACGGCTTATGAAGAGGATCAATATAGACAAAGATAAAGTCTCAAATTATGTACTTGTGGTTCGAAACCACCTCACCTAGTTTGTGTGATGCCACTAGTTGTCCCATGGATCCCAGGAATTGGGACTATGTCCTGCCGCGTAAGGTACAGGCAGTTAACAACTGTGATCGCTTCTCACTCGAGTTCAAGGTGTGTTGTATAGCTGTTGTTCCTCAAAGGGTGTCTCTTCGAGAATATGATCTTTTAGGTTTCCCATCTGTACCACTATATCGATGTTGGGGATGCTAGATCCCCACAAATCACATGGTAAAAGTTTTATTTCTGTAACTATTTTGGAAATTTGAATTTCTCTTTTTCACTCCAAAAGCTCCCATTTTTACTTTCAGATTGTATTTCCTACTTGAAAAAGACTCTAAATATCATTGGTTGGTTGCCTCCTTTAATATGCTGTTTTGTGACGTTTCTCAAGCACATTTTCATGTTGTATATATACGCTTGAGTTGTGTGCTTGTTCTTGTTTCTGGCTGCCTGTGGAATATTCCTTTCCCTCATCTAAACCAGGTCTTTTCCCTCTAGTTAACTGAGCTGAGACGCATCGGAATAGTTATCTTGTTTTGTCGTTGTGTCACTGATCCTACTTTCCGTCCGCCGATTTAGGTGATTTCTTAGACTCTTCAAACATGGCAATCGGTCATCAGCACATCAACCAAAGGTTCCCAACGTGAAGTTTGCGGTCGAATAGCATAGATTAAGAACTGCTTAAACCTATACGAACCACGTATGGACGTTATTGGGATCGTTTGTAGATAGTTTTAATTTTCCACTGGTGTCCGGCAAAGCACGTGGTATGCTTTTATTTTGAAGAATGTCTAATGATAGCGATAGTAATGTGGATTTATCATGTTCCATAGCGAATGGGAAACATTATTGCGTACAGGAATATGACAACAATATCATGTATATAAAGTGCGGCCGAAGATAGAACAAGTTTGGGTTATAATACCAAACGTTACAAACTTGGAGTTATCACAAAAGTTTCGGTAAATGAATTGATTTCATTAAACACTTAATGATTAATTAATGATTTATCTTAACCTTTTAGTCATTCTGTTATTTATGCGCCTAACCTTGGGTTTATGTGTATGATAGAACTTGTGTCAGTATACCTGTATCTCTTCCATGCTTGTAAATACTGAGCTATTCATCATTCATTGAGTAGACACGTTTACCTTCTCCGTTTTTCATCTTTCATTGGTTGTCTACACTAAAAGATGTATGGAATACATATATCCATAAGCACTTTCGTATTTGATTTGTTTTATTCCGATGTATACAATAAAGCGATGAGGTCAACGAAAGCGAAGAAAGTTAGTTAACGAACTATATTTCATCTTTCCTTATCGATATCAAACACAGTTAGCCACAGACACAACCGAATCAAACGGAAAATGTAACAAAACATATATTATCATATATGTAAATATGTTAAAAGTTAGTTTTAGAATAATCTTGAAATAGTTACAATACTTAATTAAATGCTTGTTCAGAATTTAAATAAAGACGTTTAAACAGAGAAGTGACTGTTTTGTTTTCCCTTCTAAGAAGTTATCATTTGACTTCATTATTGATTATTGAATATCATCAAACGCATTATTCTTTTCTTCGCATTGCTTGTAAGCTCAATAGAGGTGTTAGTGAAAATTTATATTACAGGTAAATGTATATTATTCTTTATTAAGTTTACTGAAGATATGTATCATGTATCAATAATGTTCTATATTTCATTTAAGTCTTAATTATTAATTTATTAAATCATTTATTTCTAAAATAATTAATTACTCATATGTATTTGTGTATGTATACCTGATTCGGTTTGGGCACCTGGGCAGTATCACAGCCCTCACACCAATCAAACGAGATTGGTGTGGCGAATATATATATCTGGTGCCTTCTTGCACCAATATTTATGTGTTTAAATAAATAAATAATAATAATTTGTGTATGTGTGTGTAAGTGTACTTTTTTTTCTCTCTCTCAATTTTTCTACTTTAGGCCAATGGATGAATAATTTCATAAAACCAAATATTATTCAATTATTATCAGTTCATCGAAAATCGAATATTGATTATAACATGAATTGGTTAAAACAATTTCTTTCAAATTATCCACATGTTATTCGTTTTAATTTTTTAAAATTAACTTTAGATTTCTTTTCAAAAATATAATCATTTCCCTTATTGTAGTTTTGTTCGTTTGTTTTTTCTTTGTTTACCTTTCTGAATATGTTAAATGTTTCAATATATTTGGTTAGTTTATACTAATACTCTTGTAATTAGATACACTATTTTATTATATAATTATTATAGTTATTTCATGCTTTTCATGTTGTTTATAATTTCACTTATCTCTTGAATTCTTTTGTTGTTGTTCTCTTTTTTTTTAATTTCTTTTCCTTCTTTCTCTTTAGTTATTTCATAAATGTTTTTTTGTCAATTAGATCTATATTTGTTTTGACAATTGTCGTTTACATTTTCAAGTCAATAATTTTAGTTTCCTTTTGTGTTTACTTTAGTTGTTTATATTTTTATTTTTATATCTAGAATATTCATGTTTCATATTCATTGTTAACAACGGTAATAATAATAATAAATTCGATGTTATTAATTTCTTGATTATGTTCTTTCATATTTTGTTTTTATTTTTTTTAAAATGTATCACATTGAATCACTATCATTGACCTAATTTAAAAGTTACATGGATGAAGTTTGAGTATAGTGTTATATACATTGATAAAGTTCATGATTGGTTTATCTCTTGCTCGAACAATATTGAGTTCATGTTTACATATTTCATGATCGATAATATTAGCATAATTAAGGATATTGATATTGTTTTAGGAATTATCAGTGATATAATTGTTAAAGCATTTATATTTCAAGTAATAAGTTGCAAAGTTAGGACCTTTCACCATGTACTTCATTTCGGACAACAGGGTATCAATGCTAATCATCAGATAAACATTGTGACCAGAAGTATGATAAATAAACCGATAACTGGCAAATCAATCATATTATACGCTAACAAGTAGATATCTGATCTCATGTCATCGTATAATCGGTTACCTATTGTTTCCTTTTCCACTTATGTTTTGATGTATGTTTATAGTTGTAACAACTTAACCTAATATCTCATTTTAGTAATGGCAATGTAAATAATCAATATTGCTTTTTTTGGCATGTTTATACAAGGACACATTACATACGTCTTTTGGTTTAGTGTTTGAAATTATATATGATGGTAGTGCGTAAATACCTAAATACACTAACTGGAACAATAAGCATACTAGAAGATATACAAATATTATCTCGAAAATGGGATAGAAAATTCATAGATGTTTCCAAACTAAGAAGTGTTTAGTAATCCCATTAACATTCCTGACGGTTATATTTTTCCACATGGTTTCCTCCAATTTTAGACTTTTTCATCACCAAAACCAATTCTTCATATTTATGTCTTCGGCTTAAATCTTAAGTTTGATTGTATGGGAACTGTTGACATTGCCTGACCTGACAAGTCAAAGTCAATAAAATAGTTCGAGTCCAATGCTCTCAAACTAATTGTGCAGTTATTTTCATGCTACTAATCTACACCGTGAACTAGTGGTCACCTACTGGAATTCCTCTCTTATTTCTTTACTGTGAAGTAATAAAACCATCATTTATTAATTATCATAATTATCTAGTTCGAATTGATTAGTTATTTTCTAATATAACTGTACTGTTTACACTTTTTCTAGATGTCATCTTATATATGATTGTAATGCAACGTGCACGAGTAAGTTTTGAATTTTTGTGATAAGTGAATCAATAATGATTGTTGGGTGGTATATTATAAACGTTAGTGCTCTGATTATGTCAGGTTTACATATTTCACTGATTTATGAATTATCCGTTATCAAAATAAATGTACCAAATTATTTGGTCACTTGGTTTACTGACCACATTGATAACTTAACTGGTATGATTTGGTTACTTATAAATAGTGTATGTGATTGTCGCTTTTCCCAACGGTAGAATGATAAAGCTTTCATGTTTTTTGATGTATGGACTGATTTGTAAGAGCTAATTCTATTCTCCGTTACTATTTGCTTTCTTATCTCTTCAACTGACAAGGTCTATTTACACATATATGAGTTATTTTGTACGGTGAAAACAAATAACCTTATGTTTATCGCACATGTTTGTTTTGTATAATCTATTAGCCACTATTTTTGTAATATATTAAATGACTGTTTAGTTTTTGGCCAAATACTCAATTTAACCGAAGTGAATCTGTATATTGGCAAAAGTGTTAGTGTTGTTTAACTTCAATGAAGTTAACGTATAAATGTACATTCAGTCGTGTTTAAATATGTATCTTAGATAACCTTTTTAATAGTAGGTTAACTAGATTATCAGAATTAGTGTAAAGACAACTTTGTTTCGAAAAAAACTAAATTAAGGTTTCTTGTATTTCAGTTTATTAGAACAAGTACTAGATGTTGAGATAAGTAGGTGGTTGGAGGTGGTCAGCAGGAAACCATGGACCCGGGTTTCGTGCTACTTAGCACTCATCAGCAAGGTGTACTTGTAATCTTGAGGGAACTGGTGCTCCTTGACGGATTCGATTCCATGTCACTCAGCTTCACAGTCCGAGACGTTACCACTGAAGTATTCGGGTCGCGACCGACCTCCTGTAGGACTGAGATGTAATCACAATTGATTGATCACTGGGTGGTGATCAATGTCATGCGTGTCAAGTCCTTCTTAGTGCTAATCGAATGCTATCGATCAAGTTGCAATGTGGCCACTAGTCTAGGTGGCTCGACACTAGATGTTATTTAGGTATATCTTATAATACCAACTGTACTTGTTTGATGTTTTCCAAACTTCATTTACAATTACAAACTAGTAATTTTAATTTCAAATGATCTGATTTTACACTGGAATATGCTAATAACCTTTCTTAGTTAACTAATAATTTTGACTTAAAAATAAATATTTCTCTTTGATCGTTATGACTTCCTTCTGTGTGTTGAATAACTTCCAGATAACAATAGTAATTTCAATGTGATAATTTATCATCTTTTATAGAAGTCAATTATCTAGAGTATGGTTTACTTTTAGTGTAAGATAGTTAGTAACAAGTGCCAAGTATTTTTTCAGAGCCTTTTCTGTTTAGTTTTGTTGGACAGTGCACAAATGGCATATATTAGATTATTTCATTAATTTATCCTTTTTTTAAGTATTTACAGAATGCTAAATTAATTTTCTTTTTATGATTTAGGCCTTGAATATATTTAAAAAACTTCACCGTACATGTGAAAATGTATTTAAAGCTGATATCGAAACATTACAAAGTAAATTCCAATATTTATATAGTTGGTTTGTGAGTTTATTCACGTATTTATATATAAGTTTAGAATAGTTTACAACTATCATGTTGAGTTAATGCTGTAGGTTAATGTATCACGGGAAACATATAGTTTTTTTTTCAGAATTTTTACTTTCTTGGTGTCAATGTTTATCAAAAAGTCAGTAGAAGTTAATGTTCCGTATATTCCGTATAATCTGATATCTAACTGTTTATGAACGATTTTGTTTTACTCATTTCACTATTGTTGAGAAGAAAAAAACTTTTGAACACCGTTATCATACAAATTTATTTGATTAAGGTTATATATTGATAATGAATAAATGGACGGATAGGTTGGTTGAATTTTTTACAATCCTATGAATTGATGATTAAGTAGAGGTTCTTTTTATCAATCTTTTCAAATGAATATTAGGACTTGTATTAGAGATATTGGTTCAATGTACTTTTTTAAAACTGACATCCATTAAAAATTCATTAAGGTTGAAAATTTTGAGTGACGATGACGTGATGTGAAATAAGTCACAGTAGGGAAAAGCTCCCTTTATCGTCATTCAAATCTTTATTCAATTATTATTTCTAACTTTCCATTATTCGGTTATATTTGTTCCTTTTCTGAACTTTATTATTCATGTCTAGACTTTCATTAATTTTTGAAAAATTTCTCATCCTATGTTTCTTATCTTGTTCATTTCTCCTCTTATTGTTCTGAAGTTAAATATGACGACCTAGACCGATACACACTCTCCAGGTCGTGCATTAACATAAACTGACTGACTGGTTGGTTGAAAAGCTGCTGAAAGACCACAATATAACTGAAATATGCACTTTCCACAGTTGTGAACCTAAAGTGGAAAATTCTGTGATCGTTTACACACTCTGACTCTAATACTTCAGGTATCTTAGCGACAAGTTGAATTTTATCTTTTGAACGCCTCGACATGTTTTCCTTTTCTGCGAGACTTTAGTCTGTGAAAGACTTTTGAGTGATACTTAAGTAGCCTTGAGAAACTCCAACCATTCTCTAGGGTCAAAGTAGGTTTATGAACTAATGCTAGGAGTTAAGTTTGGAACGAGAGTTGGAGTTTTCATTGCAAACTGACATCCTCTACAGTGCTAGTATCGTGTTTAGGCAATTGTATAAATGAGTTTTGCGAGAAATTTCAAGAGGCGTTTTTGTCGATCTGATTTGTTCATCCATGAATTATAGTGCCGCCGACTTTGTGTGGTGACATGGCTCGGATTTGGTCACAGTGGCGTTAATGCTTTTGTTACCTGTATTCTGCCCCATCCCAAGCTTCTTAATTACCTTAAGTATTTGTCTTTTATTACACAAATCTATATTTTCGTTCCGAATTATTTCTTATATGTCTAATATTTTTTTACTATAATTTATGCTGCTTCTATGTCTGCTACTCTGTGCTTTCTATGCTAATGTGTTGTGGCAGCTCGAACCGATTTACAAATTTGCCGGGATCTATGTTAGGTATGATATATAATATTTATTGTAAATCATGTATGATTACAAATATTGAGGGTGACATCACTGACTTCTCTGGAGTAGTTAGTATATAATGCCATACTGAGAAACTAGTGTAGAATAAAGTTTTTCAGTCTTTTTGTCTACTATTCTAAATATCTAAATAGGAACTTTTGATATGAATAATCTACTTTATTATTAATCATTCATATATATTTTATATGTCAGGTATAAATTTTATCTTGCTTATTTATAAAAAACATTTGTGCTTATGGGTGTTTCTGTCTAGACGCCAGAGAAAAGATTAATTTGGAGTTTCGAGCTAATCGAAATGAAACTGATGCAGAAAAAATAAACGAAGTGAGTCATTTGATGTCAATTATGGATCATATTCATGTTTATTTATAGTGATTATTTTTTCAGTTATTTTTATTTCCAGTGGTTTGAAGTGACATGATCTTATTGCTTTCAGTCTAAGTGTTAACTGAATGACAATCGGCATGTTAAGTGATTTTTTTTCCATTTTTAAAAAATCTACATTTTAATCACTGAACACTTGCTTTTTATCTTCAACATAATCGAAAATATTTATTTACATTGTTTAATCAATGAACAGTGACCAATGTCATAATTGCCTAGTTTTCTATCGATCAAGATGCGATGTAGTCACTAGTTTAAGTGATCCGAAATCACCAGTACCATGCTTTGATAATAATTAGTTAGAGGTAGTCAACAAGAAACCCTGCGATTTGATCTTTAGTATTCGATCAACATTAAGATTAAAAAAAAATAACAATGACTACTTTTCAGTGACCAGTCGATGTAAATATCTCAGTCCTACAAGGGATAAGACTATGGGACTGGATGATACGGGTTCGAACCCACCAGGGAGCATCAGTTGTCTCAAGATTGCAGGTACGCTATGCTAACGACTGCCAGCTATCGAGAGACGAACATTCAGGGCATCTTGTTGACTGCCTTCAACCCACGTATAAATTCAAAAGTTAAAGGATTAAAACTTACTTTAATACAACTAGGTAGTATAAATAACCCTTATGGACGAAAAATGCAGCTCAAGACAGTAGAAAACTTGAAGTTGGCTACTTAATTTCATTTGTTATAATAAACATTATTAAACTGTAAAATTTAATCCTTTTCAGTATACAGCCACTGCCAGGGAAGTCTTACTCACTACTTTTTCCCTGGCGGGATTGTTGTCTACGCAATTGAGAAGATAAAAGGCGAATGTTCAGCTCTTTAATTGGATTGGTGGATATGGAGGACCTACTTAGGGGATTGGAAAACCCTGATTCCCAACCGACGGTACACATGGGCTCCAGGATCCTGAGAGAAAAATGGCGTATAAACCTATTGTTGGTTACCGGCCACCATGCGACTGGATCTCCTTACGTTGCTTCACTGCCTTGTGGGTTAGATCTTTAGGTCAAAGGCTCGGGATGTGGCCCCCTAAGAAAACCACCTGCCTCGGTTTGGACGCCCAGGTAGTATTCTGGCCCTCACAATAGTCGAAGGATTTATGTGACACATATATATTTGGTGTCTCCTTGTGCCAATATTTGTGTTCAAAGACATAATTATTTATCAATCCTTTGATCAAACTGCGATTCATTATTTCTTACTTCCTAATGTAGTTGATTATTTCGACGTTTATTTCGTTATAATAAAGAGTCTTCGTATTATGTAGTTGAAGATAGCTGATAGGAAGTTCCGTAAGAGTTGTCACCCTTCAGTATTTACGAAGGAACTGATGTTTTATGGTTGGATCTGAACCACCGTTATTCAATAAAAAAATTAGAGATATTTTCGCCTTGGTTATTCAGTACATAATTGGTCTCTTAGACTAATATTTTTACACTGTACATATATACATTTTCGTTGCTTTATCTTACATTTTGTATAGTTATTGGTAAAAGCAGAAGATTGTGAAATGTTAATCAGGACAACAGTTATTCAAATGGAACTCATCGATGCTGAGAAAAATGTGTATAGTAAGTGGTGTCATAATAATATCTTCATATGATGGTATCATTCAGATAGTCAAAAGTGATCTGTGCCCTCAAATGCCTTGGTACGGCCGATAGTGAGGAGAGTCCGCTCTTCTTTCTGAAATGCTCTTACATGTTAATGCGTACACAGCCACTGTCAAGGAATTCCAACTCACTGACTTCTGGTGGAGGGGGGGTGCTGTTTACTAAACTTTTGTTAGTTCTTAGAATAAAACAATAATCCTTGATGAAATGGTATTGAACTACGACTGAATAGTTATAGTCAAGTACAAAGAATATCTATCCATCTGTTCCCTGCTTCTAAATGTTTTTTTTAGCTGAAATCAGCCTGTCATAAAAATGATGTTATACGAATCATTTCAGTTGGACTTTAATATTTATGTCATTTTCACTAATGGTTTTCTTTCTGACCTTTATAAAATGAAATATAATAACCTTAATGTAAAATTAGGAATTTGATACAACAACTAATTTGAACATGAAATTTTTTGTGGTTTATCTTCGAATTAACTTTCCATTTTTCCTTATAAACAAAATTTTTTTTTCTTTTCTACAGGAATGAATCTACGTGACGATTTAGCATATCAAGATAATGAACATTGTATCAAAGATAAATAATAAAAAAAGAAAAACATGAAGGAAAAGTTTAACAACTCAATGCCAGTAAAACCAAAGCGGTTTATTAGAATATTGTTTTATCCATATATTTTTGAGAAAAAGGTTTAAACCATTTTAATAATCTATTTATTATTTGATTTATGAAGTAAAATAAAGTGAATTTATCAAAGAAATTGTTGATTGAAAGCTTTATATCTTCTCTTGTATTACATCTAGTTCATGAATATGTCTTCCTATGTAATTGAAACAGTTTGATAGATAAATAATTGAGTGTAAATGTTATTAAACACATTTAATCAGTGTAAGTAACAGCGTTGAACATGGCTTATCCATTTTTGTATAATATTAATTAGTTTTGCTCAAAAAGTTTGATCTGAAGCTAAGTCGATAAACATGTATTAGGTAAATGAGTTATATTAATACTAGGTAGTGATGTTTCTTAAATATGTTATATCGCATTGTTACAAATTAGAAAGGGCTAATAATATTGTCCACTAATTTATTTTCGGTTTTATGATGCTTTTCAATCTAAATGAACTACACATTTTGATGCTACCTGTGACTTTCAATAGGCTCGAAATGTTACAATTAGATTTTAAGTGATTTGTAGTTTCCGACTTGATTTGTTTTTACAATGATGGTTCTTCAAAATGTTTTTGATATTTGTTGTTCATTACTCAAATATATTAATCATGTTTCGAATAGTTTTACTATTTTTGTGATACTTTAATTATTCTGAACATCAAACAAATAACTACCTTGGCTTTCTTTAGACGAAGATCATTGTTATCGACCAAACTACCACTAAGTAATGCAGTAAATATTTTTCTCAACTATTCCCAACGGATCATCATAAAATATAATCTTTTATCATATATATTTTATATGATCCGTTAAAAAGCATTGTACAAAGCACACACTATTCACCATCGTTCTAGTAATCTATTTTTAACAATGGCAATCACTTTCGTTAAGGCAGTTTGACGAGTGTGATCACAGGCAAATGAAAGAGGAACGGTTGAGAAGGGCAAGTATGTATAATTTAAATTATAAATTATTGTTGATCAACCTTCTGAGAATAATTTCCGGGAAAATATATATTTAGTTCTGGCTAAATGATCTGGAGATTAAGTGTTTGCGTGCGAGGTCTTGGTCGTGGGTTCGATTTTTGGGCTTGTGGATGCTCACTGCTGAGGAGTCCCGTACTAACACGAAATAGTTTTCCAGGTTTTCAATGGTTGTTTAACTGTGACCGGCTCGTGATTACAATGAAGTTCAATAGTCTCCACAACCCATACTGAGAGATCATCTTGAGGGGCCAGTTTCCGAAATGACTCTTTTCTATTAGATTCTACTAATATTAACACGGGCGATTCAACATCATGACGAACCGCTTTTGGTGCATGGTAATTTGAAGCATTTATTGGAAAGCTTAGTAGAAAGGCTAAATACTACCAGTCAGATGTACCTGGAACTATGTTGATGTTCTTAATGATTCTCAAACATCATACTTATTGATTTATATTTCGTAGTAGTATATACTAAGCTACTGATTTTTCTTATACTTTATTCAACAAGTGAATATAGCGAATTATGTACACTGATTTTGCTTTGTTGTGTATACTATAGCTGTAGCGTAGTGTCAAAATGAGTTTTTAGTATTCAATAATGATTTAAAGAAAGTAGTCACGAATGTGATGATCCTTCCGATGAGAAATTTATTTGAATCATATTGAAAATGGTGATACATAGCTAAGCGAAAGAATAATAATTAAATTTAATAATAATCACAATGCATAGTTAAATAAGTCTACTTAGGTTCTCTTCTCTGTAAGATTAGGATCCATGAATGAGAAACAAAGGTTTAAGGCAAGTGAAAATTAAAATTAATTAGCAGGGTTCATTTATGGGTATGTGACTAATCAAAAACATGGATAGAACAATTTATTTTTTCATGTAAATAAAATTTTCATAACAAACGCCTCAGCTTATGTATATCAGATCGTTCCAAATACAAGTAACACTATGAAAAACTGAACAAAATTCTTATTACAGCATTCCAAGTGTATAAAACTGGTTTTCCATGAAAGTATTTTCACGGGGAATGAGGCTGATGTTATGTAACACCCGAGGTATCATAAATATCTGACATGAGAGATTACTAAGTCACTAATTCTCTATCTGTGATTAGAAAAATAGCATTCATTTCTAACAGGATCACTGCATTAAACGAGAGATTATTTATGGACACAGGTTACACACAGCAAACTTCAAGAGTTTTCATTGACGGTAACTAATAATAATTATTCAAATTACTAAACTAGAAACATGGGATGTAAAGTAGTATATAGCTGTAAAGAAGATAACTAGGTTGGTGAATACGATTCACCACTGTGATGTCTGGGTTTTTTTCTCTGTTATATACTTATCGACTCTGTCGGCTCCGCAGCTTTATGCCTTATTCCACGATGAGTAAGGAGTATCGGATGCAGACGTAAAGGTGAGGATCGGCAAAGCAATGTCCACATAACTACAGTTGAACAACATATGGAACTCAAAACAACTGTCAAGCAATATCAGAATCTCCAATACGAACATCAAGACAGTTCAACTGTATAAAGCTGAAACGTGGAGAACTACTTCAACCATCGTCAAGAACGTACAAGTATTTCCAAACAACTGTCTAAGCAAAATACTCAGTATCTGTTGGTCGGATACCATCAGCAACAACCTACTGTGGGAAAGAACAAACCAACTTCCAGCTGAAGAGGAAATTAGGAAAAGATGTTGGAAGTGGTTAGGAGATACATTAAGGAAACCACCATACTGCATCATGAGGCAAGCTCTAACTTGGAATCCTGAATGGAAATGGAAAAGAGGAAGGCCAGAGAATACACTACTTCGGGAATCGGAAGCAAACATGAAAAGAATGGATAGCAAATTAAAGGAACTGTAAGCGATTGCCCAGGACAGGCTCGATACAAAAAATATTGACATAAATCATATCATCTTTTCGTTCTGTCATATCACAAGATATTTAAGCTTACATTTAAAAGTAACTATTTAACAACCGAATAGTAAGTTGAGAGATCTGACTACTCTATTGGGATTTTATTGTAGATATTAACAGATTTCCACAGTAAACATGTGACTACTATTATGCAAGTCGGAATAGGTTATACACTGTGACAACAAGGAATATGTTATTAATAAATTAACCAATGTTCTCAATTTATTCTTCAATAGCCAGATGTTAAAATTCTCAAATAATTTTCATTCATAATATTTGAGTTATAGCAATAAAATAACAACTATTTTAATTTTGTATTAAAATGGTAATTTCTCATTAGAGAATTTCAAACAATATTATCGTTTATGCATACATTATCAGTGACCTGAATCAGAACTGATTCGAACAATGTAGTGTTTCCTTAACACCATCATAATCATTCCGACACAATATTAGCATACAGAGACAAGTTATGGAATGACATTCAAACAACGAATATCATTAACCATTAATGCAGAAACAATTGTCTGTGTATCCTCAATCTGACGTAATCATGACAAGCAATGTGTTGTGTTCTGTTGGATTACGTGTGATATTCATAATCCGTGAATATGGGACAATTAGCTTTCAACACTTCATTACTGGTCAAATAAACACTTAACAATTTGTCAATTAAAAATGTACATCAGTGGATAAAATTTTCAATCAATTAGAGAAATTCACAGCAATATTATTTCATTATGGAATATGTTTGCCAATAATTAGAGCGTGTTAATATGGTACTTGCTGAGTTAGAACATTAAAATTCCTTTTGGTATGTAAGCGGGTGGATTTCCAAGTGAAAAAATCGTTGTACATGTCATGTTTCATAAAAAACTCTCCCTTTGTACAACAGTGAATTTAAGATTACTGAGAGTTTAGTGATTTCAGTTTGTTTGCCTTTGAATTAAGTCAAAAATTTGAATACATTATACAGATATCGCATGCTTTAATTTAAAGAGAAGAGAACTCTCATTAGTTGATCAGCAACATTTTTAATGACAACAAATTTACAGAAGTGGAGGGAACAGAAAACTGATTTTTCTTTGTAAACGTTTCAGTCAGCAGGACAAAGATAGGAAGTGCGGAAATACAATTATACAGGAAACCAAGTCACACGAATTAACTATTAAAGAACAACAGTAACAATCCAACCATGTACTAAAACCGTGATGTCAAGACATCATTCAGAGGATCTGAAACCCACAACAGAACTCTCACAACACAAATGATTCAAGAAGCTCATTTTCGCTCCGTTTTCCACGTGATCTTCAATCCCGATAAATTTATCAAAAGATGACCAACGAATAAATATACAGTTAAAAAACAAATATAGACCCAGTCTAAGGATGAATTATGAAGAAGCTAATTAGTCATAAGTCTAGAGAACGATAGTCAACATGAACCCAAAACCAAATGAAGACAACAAAAATGTACCAATGAAGCAAATCACAAGCTAGGCCATCGGAACGAACTAATATAATACTTTTAGGATAACTGAAAAGTTGAATTCCACATAAATTAGAGACTGAAGCTGTCCGGGATGATAATATAGGCTCAGCAATTAAAACCCTTTAGTTCAGATAACATGTCACAAAGAACATTCACCTGATTTGCGAAATTCCGGCGTCATTTAACAGACATTTATGAGGCTATTTCATGTTCACAGCTCTACAGTAGAGAATATATGAAGCTATTGGCGGTGATAAATCTTGTAAAAACAGAACGCATTTGTGTATGCACAGCTGAAATATATGTACGGATAAAATCGACAAAAATAATGTCTTTGTACAATCATTGTGAATAGATATCTGTGTCCATTTCTTGTTCAACTATTTTGTTAATTCATGTAGGCTACTCATGAGTAAAACGTCTTAGAAAGAATGGATTTTAGTGAAATACTACTTATAATTACTAAAGAACAAAGAGGAAAGTAAGAAAAATCTCGAATCAGTGTGAAACACTTATTATATATTTCATTCTATCCCTTTACCTAAAATATTAATGGTTGTTGGAATCAAAGTTCAACATTTTCCACGGATCTTTCATTCTTTTACAAGTTTTTATTCTTTGATTAGCCTACAGAGTAAGTAATAAATAAAACCTACCCATTGTAATACTAACATTTATTTGTAAAAATGTAATATTTTATGTAACCAACTTTGGCATATTTTAAAAATCCCTATAGAGCATTGAAATATAAAGAATATTTGGGCGAACAATAATTTTCGATAACTTTATCATCAGGCACTACAGTTCATAATTATTGTGATACTTTACAGTGGCCAAAATAGGGCAGCCATTATTGAATTTGACGATGTGGCATGTTGGAAATGATGAACGTTTGCATCTATTACGAAATAATTATTTTAAAATTGTGTTATATGTAAATTAGGAAGGTCATTTAATGAAGGTCAGGATAATTTGTGGTAAAGTGTCAAGACCTAATCAATATAATGGTTATATAATAGAATAAAAATCGTTTGAATAAAATGCATAGTAGGAGAATTTCGTCTTGTTGATTGAGATAAAAATAATAATATTGTGTGAATATACCACATAATAAGAGAGTTATATCAAGGTAATTACGATGAAAAAAATTCATGTTAATTGGGAAACATTGGGGTGCGAGTTACTTATATCCACATACGTA